ATCCCAGCCCAGTGCATATCAAGTCCATAAGTCTAATATTAGCCCATATGTCTGATACCAATCTATAAAGTCCTTGTCAGACTCACGAAACACATGCAATGATGCTGAATACAGAAGATCACAGGCCAGTAGGTGGGAAGTCTTATGGATCCAGTGTTGTAAGCATCTCAGGGCTGGCATGGGTTTCCATGAGGCTCCTCCAGCCTCGGGGCTCAGGCTGCATCAGTGTAGCTCCATCAGGCTCATCCTCAATAATGTCTTGTAGGGAGTAAGTGCATGCGTCCTGCCTCCAGTGAGCTATTTATCTCCTTAGCCCTTCCAAATGAGGTCATCAAGCTGTGACTTGATTGACAAGCTAAACTCCACCCCTTCACTCTTAAGTCTCAAATTGACAGCAGATTATGTAACAGCAACAGGCACTGACTTGCGGCACCTAACAACAACAACAACAACAGACTTCTGTGAAACCACTGCTACAGTCAAGGTCCAGAAATGTTCATAGCCTGGAAGATTTCTCATACCCCTCTGCAATTCATCTCTCCCTTCTGATCCTAACTCAGGCAATCACGGATCTCCTTTTATCTTTATAAAATGGACTCACACTTGGAATTTGGCTTCTATCAGTTAGTGTAATGATTTTGAGATTCATCTATGTTGTTGCCTGTATCAGCATCCAGTCCTTATTTGGTGGATACGTGGGTCATTTCAGGTTCGGGGCCCTTTTTGTGTGTGTGTGACGAATGCTACTTTAGATATTTAAGTCTAGTAATGTTTTTATTTCATTAGAATGCTACAACTGGACTTGTGAGATAGTATACTTCACTTTATAAGAAACTGGAACAGTTTCTTTTTTAAGTGGTTTAACCATTTGACATTCCCACCTGCAGTACGTGGGTTCTAGGTATTCCACATCGTCATCAACACTTGCTATTATCAGTGGTTTTGATTGTGATTATCCTAATGCTGTAGGATATGCTATATGTTGGATATACCTAATGCTGGTGGCATAATGGTTACGAATTGGGCTGAGATACTTAAGGTCAGCCGTTTGAAATCACCAGCCACTCCACAGGGGAGCCGGAGACTTCTACTCCCGCAAACAGTTACAATCTCAGAAACCCACAGGTACAGTTCTACCCTGTCTAATAGGGTCACTATGAGTAGCCATGGCCTCAACGGCAGTGATGTTGGTTTTTTGGTTTATCCCAATTATGGTGGCGTAGTGCTTGTGCTTGGGCCGTGATCCTCAGGGTCTGCAGTTCAAACCACCAGCAGCTCTGCGGGAGAAAGACTGGGCTTTCTACTCTCTTAAACAATTATAATCTCAAAAACCCACAGGAGGTTGCTATGAGTTAGCATTGACTCACTGGCAACGAGTTTGTTTGTTTGGGTTTAATGCTGTAAGGGAGAGAGAGAGAGATTTTCTACTCCTGTATAGAGCTGCAGTCTCTGAAACTGACAGAGGCAGTTCTAGCCTGTTCTATAGGCATCAACTCAATGGCGGTGAATTTGGTTTATAATATTGTAAGGAGTCCTGGTCTCATAGTGCGTTATGCATTGGACTGCTATCATGAGATCAGCAGTTTGAACCCACCAGCCACTCTATGGCATAAAAGATAAGCTTTCTACTCCCTTAAAGACTGAAAGTCTTGGAAACATAGAGGGGTGGGAAAGTTTACTTGATGTCCATGAGTATCTGTGATAGGTAGGTTTATTGTGCCAACATGGCCAATGAACACATGTGGGATTAATTGAAGGATGAAGAGCTAAATGGCTTGGTTAGCCTTGCCTTTCTTGCCTCTTGCTCTTTGATGATCGGACCACTGTGCAGCTGCCTTGCTTGTTCTGTGCCTCAATTTGCAAGGTACACTACCTGTGGGACACCTAACCCATGGACTGTGACGCTGTAGTTTGAGGTTCCTTCAAGACCTGCTTCGCCACACCATTGGAATTTACATCTGTTGAGCTGGGGACTATCAGACCCTGTCATCTGGCTGACTGTTGGTGACTTGTCTTGCTATTTGCTGCCTGTGGTCAGATAGCCTGAATTGCTCTACAGAGGACTACCCGGCAGCCCTCAAGACTTGAAGGACTGCCAGTGTATTAGCTGTATCACAGAAGTGAGTTGCACTGAGCCATTTGTAGTACTTTATAGATTAATTGTTTATTTTGTGTTATCTATCTAAATATATATAAAATAATTAGTGTCCTGGTTTTGTTTCTCTAGAGAACCCTGCCTAACATAGTATCCTAATGTTATAGTAGTATTTCAATGTGATTTCAATGGTATGTTGGTATTTTGCCCTTAATTTTCAAAAATTAAGATTTCTTATTTTTTGTATAATGATATTAAAACATATCAACAGTATATATATATATATATATATACACATACATATATATATATTCTCCTGTTCTGTGGCTTATCTTTTCATATCTTATTGATATATTGTGAAGAGCAAATATTTTAAATTTTGGTAAAATCTGAATTTGTATGTGTTTGACTTTTTAAACTTCTGCTTTTTGTGTCCTGAAAATTTTTTGTTTAATCACAAGATCACCAAGATTTTTCACTTACACTGTATAAGTTTTCTTTTTTATTTAAATGCATGATCCTTTTTAAGTTAATGTTTGTGTGTCGTTTGAGTTTAGTTTGTTGGCCAATACCTAAAATGACCTATAGTTTAATTCTTTTAGAAGTAGCAGTTTATATATCAGTAGCTCCCATTAACAGGAGGAAGATGACGTGTTCTACTCTCACAAAAAATTACAATCTCGCTAAGAGTTGTATGAGCCCCCTATAAAATGATTTAAAAAAATTAAAAAAGAATTACCATCTTGAAAATCCACAGGGCCAGGTTCACCCTTTCCCAAAGGGTCACTATGAGTTGGAATTGACTCAATGGCAGAAACATCAAGTTACCATTCAAATCATTGTTTTGGACAAGTATTCTGTTGTCTCTAGAATGTACATCTTTTGAAGCAGGGCAAGGAACCTACAGGTTTAGAATTTTTGGAAGTTAAAAATTGTAATGTTTACTTTCTTCCTCATGTTTCTTTAGCTATACTGAGATTTCCTCTATTAGCATTTCTCATCATTATTTAAAAATGAAAATTTGAGGCTCAAAAAGATTAGTATTTTAGTCACAAATGTTTTATGTTAACAGCAGACTTGAATGATCATATCTACAAAAGCAAAAGTCCTTACTTGACCTTGTGTGAAATGTAAGAATGGTGCAAAATGTTGATTACCAGGGCAGGGGGTGATACGACTGTCGTAACAGAGTTTTCCTTTCTGTTCTTAAATAGGTAATGTAACCACCTATTACTCATAGAGGCCACCTCTATTAAACATGGGGCAGTGCTATCATATGACTTCCATCCTGTAGAATGTTCAGGCAAAATGAGGATACATCCTCTCTCATTTAAAACAGGCTATTTTTAAAATAGTCTGACTTGATGAGTTTTTCTGTATTTCTTCCTTAAGGGATCATTCCAGAGTTGAGCCTCAAGGAAATCTCATTTGTCACATGAACTCATTTATTTGTATTGAATGATAGTGTAAAAAGTGAATCCAGCTGTTTAGGTTCACTGGTCAAAAGTTTATAAGCAGCTGTCATTGAACTACATCAATGCTCTCGTGACCCTCCTAAGGAGCCCTGGCGCCTTAGTGAGTGAGTGACGCAGTAGGCTCCTCAAAACACCAGCAGCTCCTTGGAGAAAGCGGAAGTGTCTTCTCCAACCTAAGATGGACAGTCTTGAAGCCCTGGGAGCCCATTCTACTCTATGGCATCACTAGGGGTCGGAATCAGCCTTCCCATGACTAATACTTATCCCTTTGGTTATCTGATCGCTGCCTCCTCTCATTTCTTTTAGATAGGTGTCTATTGGGTTGCCATCTGATATACTGATTCTTTATAATATCGAATGAAACCCAAATTCCACTTTAATGCAGTGTACTAAAGTGTAGAAGGGTTTGTGATGAAGGGCATCTTCTTATTTCAAGGAATTTAGGAACCAATCCCATCAGTCATTAAAAACAAAACAAAACAAAACAAAACAAAACAATTCTGGTCTTCTAACCCGTCAGCCCTCCACTTCCTTCGAGGGGAGAGAGCAGATCAAACCAAAGCTGAGAATCGAACTACCATCTAGCCTCAAATCCTCAATCAGACTCTGCTGCTCTGGAAAAAATCATTCCAGGTTTGTCCAAGATGATTATAAAAAGGTCCACCCCAACCAAGTCCTTTTGCTGCCCAGGAAGTGAGAGGAAGGAAAGAAATAAAATATATTTTTGTTTCATATGAAAAACAAGCCCTCAAACTCAAAACAAGCTAAAATCACCTTTATTTTAATTCTTTTCGCAGTAGCAGTTTATCTATCAGTCCACATCTCAGCTTTAAATTTCCAACCATCCTGCCAATCTGGGCCTGCTCCCTGCTCCAGGGGTGGTGGTGGTGGTGGTGATGGGGGGCGGGAGGGCTGCCCGGTGCCACGATGGCATTCGGGCCTCAGAGAGAACCTTTGTGGAGTCACAGCTGCGCGCCCCGCCCTCCTGCGCGTAGGGCTCCGCTACCTTTGTTCTCCTCCCAACGGTCTCCTGGCAACTCCGTTTACCTGGGCGCCCCGCGGCCCGCGGCCCCAGTCTGGCGGTGGGAGTCGGAGAGTCCAGACTTGTGCGCGGATATTCGCCAGCCAATCCGAGCAGCTCGACAGAGCAGAGCGGAGGGAGGGCGAGGAGGAATATTCACTTGGATTTAAGGGGAGGGAAGTTTTTTTTTTCTCAGAAAAAATAAACCAAGATTTTCATCATTTTCATCAAGATTAAATCAAGATTTTCATTTTGTAAGACACACCTAAAACTACGAAGAAAGGCACTTGGCACGTGGGAAGATCACTTCTGAACAACTTGCACATCCGAGAGGAAGAACAGGCAGCCAGCGGTCCAGCGCCGGGAGACCGGAGTGCGGGCAGCAGCCATCGCCTCCGGGAGACCAACGATGTTGGACACTCTCCCCTCTGCCCTGCAGGGGCTGGGCAGGCAGGTGCTGCCCACGCTGCCTTCACTCAGCCAGGAGGGTAAGCAGTGTGGACTGGGGCCCCGGCCCGGGGCTGCGGGTTACTCGGATCTGGAACTTTCACCCGTTTTGGAGGTGAGGCCTAGGTCCTGCTTCCAGGGTTTCTGGCTCAAGCAAGGCCAGGATAGGCTGTGTTGCCTGGACAACCACCAGGTAATCGCATCAAACCTATGTTGAATGTCCTAAGATGGGCTCTCTGTTTCATCGGCTGCCTTAACGAGGGAAAGGGAGCCAATTGGTTTTTGATTAAATGTGGTAATGCATAGTCTGTACTTAGTTTAGGCAACAGAGTGTGAGCACAGGAATGTTAGCTACCTTCCTCTCCCCACTGAGGTAGTTCAGAAGCCCAGGCTTATCCCGAGAAGCTGTTTTACTGGAACTTACTAAGGCTCCTTCACGCAAAGACCTGGCTGCTTTTCCAACCCTCAGGTGTAGGTTCAGCAAGTATCGTGATCATAAAAAGAGACTGTTCCGAACAAGGCTTGGTTGCTTGTCGCAGAAAACTTGCTAGGCCTTGTGTCGTCATTCAACACACTGTCAAGTCATGCCGACTCATGGTGGCATAGAACTGCCCCTCAGGGCTTCTGAGACACACTAGTTACAGGACTAGAAAACCTTGTCTTTCTCCCAATAAGAGACAACCTGTTTTAGCATGGTTTCCTTAGTCATCCCAGTGCTGTTGAGATCTTCCTGCAAACATTAGAATTCTTGGGAAGAAAAATAATCAAGAAGCTATTATTATTAGCAAGCATTGTAATGTAGGCTTTAACTAGGTGACAGATAGAAACTGGGTGACCTGCTATGTAGCTAATGATCCTTGGAGGTGGGGCTACAGGTCTTCAGACATGATGCACACAGTGCTAGTGGTTACGAGTTGGACTGCTAATCTCAAGATCAGCAGTTCAAAACCACTAGCCACTCCATGGGAGAAAGATGAGGCTTTCTACCCCTGTAAAGAGTTACAGTCTCGGAAACCCACAGGGGCAGTTGCTATGAGTTGGATTCAACTTCATAGCAGTGAGCTCTACTTTAGATATGTTACTTTGTTCAAATTATCCCATAATATGTTTGTATTATTTTAAAGTACAAAAGAGACACCACTCTCAAATATAAATATAAGAAGAACTTTTATCAAGTTTTAAAAGAGACTCAGGCATCATAGAACAAAAAATCATATCATTGTGTGCTCACCTCCATGATATGATCCCTGAAGACAAATGGGTACATAAGCAAATGTGGTGAAGAAAGCTGATGGTGCCCGGCTACCAAAAGATATAGCGTCTGGGGTCTTAAAGGCT